CGGACTGTGCTGTCACCACGTGGCCTCCAGTACCAGGTGACCGAACGAGACTCATTGGAGGAGCTCCTCCACACAAACCCAGGGTCAGACTCGGTGCAGGGCAACGTGGTTCCTTCACCAATTTTAGCCGCGTAATTCCTAGGTGCGTTTTGCTCTGCACCTGCAGATCGTGTTAAAACAATGGTTTCATTACCAAACACACAGGATGCCACAATACAGCTACACACCTTGCACCTGAAGGTATAAGCATGGAAATTGTGTTAAGTTTACAAATTACTTTAGTCAATTTAACTGTATGTCCGATGTGTGTAGTGATTGTCCCACACGATCCCTGGGACGGAGGAATCTAGAAGTCTGGAGTAAACACTCCACGCTCTGATTGATAAGGGCACAGGGGAGCAAGGGGATTGTCCGGAACGTTCAAAAGGGAAAAGAACTGGAGGGTTGGGTGAGCGTCAGGTGGGATGGTTAGGCCAGGTGGGGGTAAGAGAGGTGATGATTGGTGGAGACGGAGTGCGACGAGGTGCGGAACCAGGAAGAGGTTAAAAGAGGGAGTTGGAGTCGGAGTTCGGGGCATTGTAGGAGAGAGAGCGAGATGGAAGGTATGGACCCGTGTCGTGAAATAAATACCTTACCTTGTGGATAAAGATAAGGGCAAGAGTCTTCTTTCATGTGTATTAATTTCATTTTCAATTTAGAACGATTGCAATAACTGCAGTATATATATAGGATGAAACTTAACACACTTGATCAGAGTATTTATTTTCAGTATGTTATTGCAGTGTTTTTTATGATGGCACTGAAGTTTGGTGAGATGTGTACTTACCAATTTTCCGCACGTTCAAATTGTACGCTACCTCTGAGATCTCTCCACTCTCCCTTTTCAGGGAACACTTCCACAACCCACTCTGAGCAGCCTTCACTTTCACCAAAACGAGGCTGCTTTGATGGCTGATCTCAATCCCATTGTGAATCCATCTGACCATGTGTGCATAGGAGTCGTTAGAGAGCTGGCAGGTCAGACTGATGCTCTCTCCTTCTGCCACGGTATCGGATGTGTTGGATGAAACTAAAGAACACGAAACAAGAATACATATTCACGGCTCATTGACTCAGCAGTCCGAACTATAGCACAACACATTCTGAATTTTGAGGTATGGCCTATCCCTGGTCACGTGGAATCCACATCTGTGCTGAGATTCCAGGAGATATGAGCCTGGAGGCCTCACAACGCAGTTGAGATCATGGAATCCCTCCTGCACTGCTCCTCTAATCGTGATTACAGCAGCAGAGCACAGAGACTCCAGGGGAGGGATGGGGAAGGGGTGGAGAGGAGACCACGTGTCCACTGATCACGAGTAGCACTGGCCCAGGAATTGCCTAATCCCAAATCCCTCGACCTAAAACCTGATTGTGAACGTGAACTCACAGCAGGAGTCTGAATGGCCAACAGCAGCTGCGCTACTCGTCATTCTCACGTGAACTCTCCATATCGCAACTTGAAAAAAACTAAAACCTGTTTTAATTAGCATGAAATATTGTGTAAATATACGTACGTACACTATACATATCTATTGTATGATGTCTCTTCAATAATTTGGACTACATCACTGTAATAAAACATGTTAATCTAATACCAGTGCAACTGCATTTTTATTGTGGAAAGCAATAACTGTAAAATATATCAGTTCCGCAAGTAAAAAACACGGGAATATTCCCGTGAATGTGGCTGTGACACGACCGTTTACATGACGGAACACTTAGGCTCTCATCTGCAAGGGAGATGGCATGATGGGCAATGAGAATCAGATGATGCGCATCCAATATTGAATGCTACAGCAATGACAGCTTGTATGTGCAGCAGCAGTAACAATCGTTCACGTGAACATAAACTCACTACGGCATTTACGTCACAATCATGAACAATATCGTCCGACATTTCATTTTCATAGCATGCTGAAACGTGTTAATACATTTTTGTAACAGAAATTAGTAACAATTTTTATGAATATATTTAGTTTATATGACTCAATATTACCGTACCTTTCATTGTGACCAGTTCCATTGTGAGGGTGCCTGTCCTATAGTAGCCAGTAAACTCACATGTGTAAACCCCACCACGTGAAAACGTAACTTTCGACAATGCTAAAGGAAACTGATCTCTATAATCAGACGGTTGCGATGGATATTGTATGTTCTGATCATATCGCTGTGTTGTGCCATCATGCGATCTCCATTTCCAAGTGACAGCGCGTGCCTGCTGTGAATGATCTTTCCACTGAAATCCAGGATCAGATTCATCACATGACAAAGAGACCTCCCCACCCTCGTGTATGAAATATTTCTGCACTGCGGGTGCCTTCTCAACATGACTTCCTATAAAAGAAACAGCAGTAAATTAACCAATGCACAGTAATTATCAAAACATTTACTACATGTAAATATGTATTTGTTACATTTGACATTAAAATGTTATAAATTCATAATAATAAAACACAAAAGGTAATAACAGTACAATTAAATATATATAACAGTAGACTTACCAGTTGATCTAAACTGCAATTTGTACGAGGCAAAGGGACTGTTTTCCTGGTCATGTATAGCACATTTCCATTGTCCCTGTTGAGATCGTTTTACTTTGTTCAGTATCAGCACAGAATTGCCTTGGCCAATGTAAATGTCACCATGATACCAAACTAGAACTGTTCCATAGCCACTGTTTGACATGAGACAGGTCAATGTGACAGTCTCTCCTTCTGTCACAGAGCGGGATGGGTTGGCTGAAACTAAAGAAAGCAAAAGCAGTAAAACAAACTCAGACATCAGCAGAGACTCCGTGCTCCAGACTCCTCCACTAATGCTCTTGTGGGCGAGACCACAGCAGAGACGCTCAGCGAGTCTGGGCGACTCCTAAACGGCCCTCGGTCACTACAGAGACCTGACGGGCTGTGTGACAGGGGGCGGTGTGAGGAGCCTACGCAGCACTCACAGTTCTGCAAGTAAACACGCAGTTTCACTAAAACAGTATCACACGTGACAGGAGTCAGTGTCAGACGAGGTCCAGAAACAACAATTGTCCCTTCCATGAACAGTTCGGCAAGAAATCGCGTGGCCCTACTGGAACACGGGTGACATCGCACGGGCACCGTGCCACTGATGTGGCACCACATGTCGTGTGACGTCACCAGAGGGCACGGAGTGACAGGGAGAGTCAGGAGGGGCTCATCCAATGTCAGACATCTCCACCAGTGCAGGACCCAATGTGCAGCACCTCCGATTAGCACGGTTGGCTACGTATGGTGCGAAAGAAGTTCAACATACATGCAGCAGAAGGGCTACCTGTGATACCGATTTAAACGTACTCATTAAACATGCAACAGCTTTTACCTGAGCATTACTGAAAGTTATTATATGAATACCATGGTGTGTTATGTGCAGGTGTAATTTATTTTAATCTAGAAGTTACACTATTGTGTGAAAGTGTTTTAATGATATATAAACCAAAAGCACATTACCTTTCATTGTGACCAGTTCCATTGTGAGGGTGCCTGTCCTATAGTAGCCAGTAAACTCACATGTGTAAACCCCACCACTTGAAAACGTAACTAGCGACAATGTTAAAGGAAACTGATCTCTATAATCAGACAGTTGCGATGGATATTGTATGTTCTGATCATATCGCTGTGTTGTGCCATCATGCGATCTCCATTTCCAAGTGACAGCGCGTGTCTGCTGTGAATGATCTTTCCACTGAAATCCAGGATCAGATTCATCACATGACAAAGAGACCTCCCCACCCTCGTGTATGAAATATTTCTGCACTGCGGGTGCCTTCTCAACATGACTTCCTATAAAAGAAACAGCAGTAAATTAACCAATGCACAGTTATTATCAAAACATTTACTACATGTAAATATGTATTTGTTACATTTTACATTAAAATGATTTAAATTCATAATAATAAAACACAAAAGGTAATAACAGTACAATTAAATATATATAACAGTAGACTTACCAGTTGATCTAAACTGCAATTTGTACGAGGCAAAGGGACTGTTTTGCTGGTCATGTATAGCACATTTCCATTGTCCCTGTTGAGATCGTTTTACTTTGTTCAGTATCAGCACAGAATTGCCTTGGTCAATGTAAATGTCACCATGATACCAAACTAGAACTGTTCCATAGCCACTGTTTGATATGAGACAGGTCAATGTGACAGTCTCTCCTTCTGTCACAGAGCGGGATGGGTTGGCTGAAACTAAAGAAAGCAAAAGCAGTAAAACAAACTCAGACATCAGCAGTGACTCCGTGCTCCAGACTCCTCCACTACTCCTCTTGTGGGCGAGACCACAGCAGAGACGCTCAGCGAGTCTGGGCGACTCCTAAACGGTCCCCCATCACCACAGAGCTCTGTCCATGTGAGTACGATGGGTCGGCATCAGCAGCAGACTCTCCTGTTCATAGATGTGTCGGCAAACATGTGGCTGCACTACACCACAGGCAGAATGTCATGGGCGATGGCTGTGGATGTGACGCCAGTGCAGTGTGATGGGAAGCCTGGGTTGCCATCTCCATGGATCGTGGAACAATCGTCAGTCTCGTGAGAGTCCTCGGACGTGCGGTGCTATCACGTTGGAAGAATTAATAATGTGCAATAGCAGCAGTATGTTTTATGATTGAGCAAACTCATTACAGCCATCAACATTAATACTGTCATAAAATTGGTAGCATTTTGTATTTAAAGCTTTCGTGACTGCAGGGATTCATATTCTTGGTTCTTTCGGTAAAGTCACGTAGAAGGGAAACAATAAAATAATAAAAATATAAAACAATACAATTATCGCAATAAAATTCTCACCGAAAGAACCAAGAATATAATTGGTAGCAGTTTACATTCACGGACTATTAATTTAAAAAATCTTACGCAATAAATCATTAAATGTATTCCTCTTTTATATTGAAGTGCATATGCTTGTGCAAAAAAGTAAAATATGATTTACCTTGCATTGTGATCAGTTCTCTTGTTAAGCTGCTTGTTCTAAAGTAGCCAGCAAAGTGGCAAATGTAGAGCCCAGCATCACTGTGTTGCACTTTTGAGATTTGAATAGAGAAGTTGTCTTTGTCAAAATTAGACTTCAATGTCGTTATTCTGGAAACCAGTGGTATAGCGGTATTTTTCCATACATCTCCATACCGTTGACCAGTTTGCTTAGGATACTGGACAATCGTTTCGCTACCACTACCCTGCCTCTCCCATCGCCAGGTCAGAGCCAGGTCAGAGGAAGGGTGATCTTTCCATTTAAATTCTGGATCATCTTCAACGCATGGCAAAATGACCGTCTGGCCCACAGAAACGAAATACTTTCTGGGAGCAGGTGCCTTTACATCACAAACATCTACAAAAATATAACAAAAGAGATAAATTATTACACTTCAAACATTGAAATAACAAAAAATATTTGACAATTTTAATACTTTTATTTATTACAACTCCACAAGGGATGCATCACATACGTCATATTCAACGCATTTATAATATACTGATTGCATTGGTAATACAAACTAAGCATACATATTTAAAAAATCACGGTGTGAAATTAAATTCACCGAGGGCTTCATTTCTGAATTCACTTACTCTGTGATGAGACTGTCAAATGGTGAGAAGCAGAGGCTTGGTCAGTTTGGGTTTTGACACCACATGTCCATGCTCCCTCTTGACATCTTTTGACTTTGTGTAATGTCAGCACAGAATTGCGTGGGTTCATCTCAGTGCCACCGTGAGTCCAAACAATACTTTGTACATAGGCACTGTTTGAGATGTGACACGTCAATGTGACAGTCTCTCCTTCACTCACGACGCTGGATGGGTTTGCTGAAACTACAGAAAGCAAAAGCAGTAAAACAAACTCAGACATCAGCAGTGCCTCCGTGCTCCAGACTCCTCCACTACTCCTCTTGTGGGCGAGACCACAGCAGCGACACTCAGCGAGTCTGGGCGACTCCTAACCGGTCCCCGATCACCACAGAGACCTGACGGGCTGTGTGACAGTGGTCGGTGTGAGGGGCCTGCATCAGTACCAACGTCACCTGTGACACTGACACTCCTGCAAGTAAACGCGCGGCTTCTCTAGGAGAGCACCGCACAGGACTTTGGGTGCAATGCCACTGTGGGAGCGATAGGAAGTCTGTGCCGTGTCACCTCCACGAGTCGCAGTGCAACGGTGAGGCAGAGGACGTGAGGCAGCGAGGACAATCTGCCGGTGGCATTGCAGTGGAATGGCTCCTCACGTGCAGTACCAGCGCCACGCATCACCCTCGTGTAAACTCTTTGCAGCGTTCACACCACAACTTGTTCTTCACGGATACAATGTGATGAAATAATATCACCATTAAAAATGTACGACAATTAATCATACATTTCACTTTGAAGAATAGGAAGGGTGCTTGTCCAAAATAGTGTAACACATTTCCTTACCTTCCATTGTGATAATTTCCATCATGGGACTCTCTGTTCCAACTTCGCTTTTAACCAGGCAACGGTAAACCCCAGCGTCACTGTGCTGCACATTTGCGATTCGGATAGAAACCCGATGTTGATCAACATCCTTAATGACTGTTATCCTGAAATCTCGTGAGTTTGTTAAATCCATATCGGGTGCTCCATTGCCTTCACCACGCCGCCAGGTGATAGAGCTGATATTGGGATTGTCGTGCTGTGACCATCCTGGAGTGTTTCTGTCACACGTCAAGGTGACTTCCTGTCCCACAGCAACAAAATACTCTCTGGGGGATGCCTGTAAATGAACACTCGCTTCAAAAGTGAAACGACAAAACGGCAAAATTATAAAGTGTTGAACACTACGGTACGGTTTTGAAATGTACGGTGAGCAACAAGTTGAACGTACATACTGTACGTATACACAGTGTGGTGTATAACAGCACGCGAACAATAACTCACTGATGCGGGACAAGATGCAGATGACAACACTCATCCACACCGCACGCCTCCTCGTCTCCGTGTCCATGGCTCAGAGCCACGGCGCCGTCTGCTCAGTTCTCAGCACGCACCACGTTTTATGTCGCTCCTGCTGCCGCCTTCAGTTGAAGTGTGGCGACATCCCACCCACAGCTCGCTGAGGTTTCACTTCCAACCACAGCTCCCAAACCAAACCCCAGCCTCTCTCTATAGCACGACTTCATCGTCACGCTTCCGTTTACTGTTTCAGCGCCGAATAAAAAAGAAATGTTACAACTGTTATCGTGCTCAAAAATACATTTATTGACCTAAATAAAAATACGAATTCATAACTAACATTAATGACCATGAACGTGCTTAGGTATAAAAGAGTCACCTGACACCATTTGGAACATGCATGTTAAATTCGCGTCCGTGCACGTCAAGTCTGGTGGTGTGCGTCCATGCGCCCTGTGGCTCCCTGGCCATGAAGTCGGAGGCCCTGCCTGGACGCGGCTCGCTGCTGTTTGACCCAAGGCTCAGGTGATGCTGCTCCTCGTTGGATCCATTCCAATAGCAGCAGCCACCACAGAGCCAGCCGTGGGACACTGGGGTGGGATTTCTCACTTCAAAAACAAGATTATTACTTGTGGATACTTACAGATTTGGCCCAAGGCTGAGGAGTGCTGCAGGGCCCCATCAGCGTGCAGCGAAATGGCACACTTGTCCAGCCTCCAAAACGACAGAGGCCAAATAAATATAACAAACAAAATCTGTATTCAGAAATATGACTTTATTAATTCTGTATAATTGTTTAAACAAGAATAACATGACCAATACGAGCTTCATTAAGTGTTATGTCTCACGTTGTTTTAATGTCAGAAGGGGAGGGAGGTCTTCTCTGATCCGGTGTTCCGGGGGTAAAGACATCTAAAACCGGCCCTTCTCCCAGCTACCATGGTCACTGTTGCGACTACTGTGCGTGTCCTCCATCTGAGTCAGAACAGGGATGACGTGATGGTTCGCTGGTAAAGAGAACTGCAGGAATATGGAACAAGTTCCATTGCTTGTCATTTGGGCTTTTTAAGTACACCAAAGCAGAATTACAACTTGTTTTACAACATCAAGTTGAACAATATAACCGAATAAAAATATAGATTTCGTTCGTATAAAATACAATACCCGTCCTTGTTTTGTAAGGTAAAAACCCATTCACACAATAAGTCTCTGTTACACCTGTTGAATTTATAGTGGCAAACTCCGATTCAGAGAGACACTAATCACAGCTGGAAATTACTAATGATCATTTAAATAGCCACGCGTTTTGTTTTCACGTCTTGATATTTGAAGCTCAAGCCTGAAAGATTTCTCATTATATCGCATTCCGTGTGAGAGCACAGGACACTTTATGTTACTTCTGCTTTTGAACACAACTGAAAGATTACGAACCATAACAGATTATTCCTATATTTTGCATGTTAAATATGCACAAAACCATCTTAAAACTGGAATGTTGACACTCAAAATTATTAATTTAAATCAAGTAAATAACACCACCGAACTAAAACAATGTTATATGGAAATACTCGGCTCCAGAAAAGTAACTGCACAGCATTTGGAAAAAGTGTATCGCTCATTCATACAAGTCGAAGAGTCTCAACAATGGACGTCTCAACCCATGCAGCATTTGCCTCCTTGGTCATGAGGTCAGAGCCCGTCTCTGGACGCTGTTTGCTGCTGTTTGACCCAAGGCTCAGGTGATGTTGCTCCTCGTTGGATCCATTTCAATAGCAGCAGCCACCACAGAGCCAGCTGTGGGACACTGGGGTGGGATTTCTCACTTCAAAAACAAGATCATTACTCGTGGATACTGACCATGATGTGTTAATTACTCAATATTGTCAAATGGCGTCACGTGGTGTAAAATTCAATCCCACGTGTTACGATAAAGGCACACGTGCCATATCACATTGACAGGTGAATGTTTACTTTTAGACCATAATGTTACACTTCTGTAATGATGAGGCATGGCCCGTTCGATGGTTTCTCCCAAAATAAAAGTTGAACACTTTCATCGCAGCCATCTCTGCTTCACGTTGTCATGCTTGGTACATGCGTGTACAGTGGTCATTTCACAATGTCAACTTCATATTCTTGGTTCTTTCGGTAAAGTCACGTAGAAGGGAAACAATAAAATAATAAAAATATAAAGCAATACAATTCTCACGAAGTTTCGACTGCAAAACAAGCAATTTTCTTGCGTGTGAAAACCACAGCAAGAAAATTTTCTTGCTGTGGTTTTCACACACAGTTAAAAGGGTAAAACCTATTCCTATATCTTGTTACTGGCAAAGGAAGTCTCATAATGTAAATGCTCACCCCGAGCCCTCAATACTCTGATAGTGCACTGTTTTTGAGTTGTACGCCTTTTGGCGTCTTCTGGTCCAACACCAATGGAGACTAGGCTCTAAGAAAAGCCGTCTCGGGTGTGGACCAATCAAATTCAAGGACAGTGCATATTATTATCAGAGTTGTATTTTTTGTTTGCATTTTGACTGCTTGTGTTGTGGTTATTGCAAACATGATACCTTGAATAAAGGTGTCAGTTTTTGTGCCAGTTACAAGGGTAAACCCTATTCCTATATCTTGTCGCAGGTGAATATGGTCATCACATTACATTATGTGCAGTGATTGGCTCTACATGTCAGAAAGTCGCGAAGGTGCGGTTGACCACCAGTCTTGCCAACTCAGCTATTTTGTAAGATCAGGATTTTATTTTCTTTTATACCCACGTGACTTTACCGAAAGAACCAAAGAGTAAAGATCAGGTTTATTTGTATTAACCTGGTGAGAACTCAGAGGCCAGTCGCTTCTCCTATGCAAGAGTGTTGGGATATTCATCTGCCTGCAGGGGGCGATTATCACTATGTACAATATTAATCGAGTTATTTGTTGAGTCATTTTTTGTAATTTGGAGTTTTGATCCTGAAATCAGTTACATAATGGCCTACTCCAGCGAATGTGAAGGAATCGTAGACGCCCAATGTGAATTACTCACAGTTATAATCAAGGCAGCCAGTGGATTCGATCCACGAAGCACTGCTCTAAGACGGTGAATGTGCTACGAGTTTCCCTGCGTGAAATATTTTGCCAAAGTGATATGTGACTTTCTGGGATAACGGCATTCGACAAGTTTAAGAGCAATTCCAGCAATGTATCAAATATTTCTGTATCAGTCGTCGACCTTAAATACTTGGCAAATGGTCTAGTGACATTCAATGACTTTAGAAGGGCATCTAGCGGCTGCGTGAGGTTCGTTTGGCGACTTTCCGCTTTAAGGAGTTGGCATCACTGCTGACCACGCCATCCCTGTGCCCACTTGTGGGTAGCAGCAGCAGCTGCTGATAGCGAAGTGGCTGCACGGAGTGCTCCGTGTCTATGACCTACACGGACACAGGAGAGGACTGCACTGGCACTGCCCACACAAAAACTGAAATATTTTTATTCACAATTTTTTATTTTACCAGGTAAGGCCCACTGTGCTAGATAGCTTTTTTAAATGGGCAACCTGAGCACAAATTATAGCTCAACCAAGAGGCGTATCATGTAGAAATGTACAGCGGCCACATACTCTAAAAGCATGTTTCTAAATATGGAGGCGAACCCCGGAGACAAATCCACGCGACAACGGGGAGAGAGACACGCAAACTCCAAATATACAGCAGGCGTCAGGGTCGAACCCACGAACTCCTGCATACCAGGCGAGGCAGTTAACATCTCGCCACCGCGGCGCCCCGCACACACAGGGGAGACGTGAGCAAGCACAGATGTGTCAAGGTGAAGGAGGCAACCTCGTAGGGTGGAAAATTTTGACGTAAGAAACCAGGGTCATTTTAAGTGGGAAAACATCTAGAACAGCAAATTTTTAAAAAATGCACGCTGCCCTTGTGGCAAACATTCCTTTAGATGTTCCTACGTGGCCCTGATGTAGATATTGTCTTTGGCAGACTCCATGGCGGCTGATGCTGCACCTGCACGTGTCACCTGTAAGTGGGCTAAGCGGTTGTGGTTTTCGTGTCCCCTCACCCCCCCCCTCACCGCTTCACATCAAGAGCCACGAGCAAGCCACTGCCTTTGAAACACCCTGTGGCCTCTACAAACCACTTGTGTGCTCAACGAAAACTAAAGCTGGGTCCGGAAGATGCAGCCGAGATCCCCTGGAGATGCGAGCGACGGACGCCGTTCCCCAGGGCCACATGTGGGGCTGGGAGCCCAGACGGCGCCTCACGGGCACGAGTGGCCAGGGCCCCCTAGCGGCAACAATGAGGCACAGCGCGCGGTACAAACACAACAATGAGACAGCGTTCGACTTTGTCATTGCTTTGGCCTTGCCAAGTGAATGACAGTCAACTGAGTTGTAAACATACCATAGTGTCCCTCGTGGCAATGGGAACGTAATCCCAGCTGTGCATTACAGTACAACATTACGAGACGCCGGTTTGTGATCTCAGTTCCATTTTCGTCGGCAAGTATTTTTATTGTTATATTTTAAGTTGTTGAATTGTTTGCATCGTGTGATTTAAACTCTGCGAGTTGTGTTAATGTCATAGAACAATCAAAATAACCCCAGACAAATATACTGTACTCACAAGGATCATGTCGTCCTCGCGTCGTACGTTAAGATTGTCATAATCGTCTGTGACAGACAGAATAAGAGTTTACATTCCAGCATCAACAACGTTACTATTACCAAAGAACACGATCAAAAATAGATTAACAGCACAAGCAAATAAAGTCCATTGAAGTGGATGGATTAAATCAGTGGACGTGTGCCTTGGACTCTCAATCAGTTCAGC